AGATAACTATAAAAATTTTTGAGAAAAAGCTTTATATCTTATTTGTTATTTTTACTACTGTATTTCAGTACATGTTGTTTCAATTTGACTGACTTCATAACCTCAATCAAAAAAATTAGGAATAAAATATAAATGCTTTTTTCCTTCTAGAATGACTACAAATTATAACACGAAAACACAAATGTTTAGTCTTACTAGCTTAAATCTCATAACATTATACACTGATACATATTTATAATTTTTATTATATTGACCTTCCAGCTGGGCCTGGCTAACAATACAAAAGTTACAATGATGTGGCACACGTGCACTTGTGTTACCATATCCAATAATATATAACTGACCTTTAGTCTTTACAAAGTGACCAGTCTTGGCTGTGTTTTTGTAGACTAGTATTTTGTAAAATTCTTACATTTCAATTATTATAAATTACATATGTATATACATTATTACTGTTAACTTTATTTTTCTTAAAACATAGAACAGTAAATAAAGAAGTAAAGCAAACAATTATCTCTTCTAGTATACCTGTGTACTTGTTTGCCGCTTGTTGTAGGTTTCTAAGCCTTATGAAATTTCTCACGTAGAGATGTGAAAACAAAATTTTTTTTAGGTGTTATATATACATTTTAAATAACCAAAATATCATAAATTACTATAGCAATCCCCCTATAATTTATCAAGCTTAGTAACTAAGCTGTATTTAGGTCTAAAAAAATATGAACTTTCGAGCTCACTAAAGACTTACCTTATCTTTTGAAATCTTGTGTGAAAAGAACAAAATTAACACAATAACATGTCAAAATGGCTGAGAAAACCACTAGAACGGGCTTGGAGAAATCAGTGTGGAAAGAATATATATACGTCATATATAGAAGTAAGTGTATATAAGGTACCATTTCCAAAAATGAAAAGAGGTGGGCAGGTGGCCACTATGTTTGATTCAGTACATGAGTGATATCTTAGCAAATAGAAAAGATAAGACCTTTATATTCTAGTTTGTCAATATCAGTAAACTGAGTTTCTAATTTGTTCAAAACTATAGACTTGTATTCAAAATTTATTTAAACTACTTTATTATCAATGTATGTTAATAAAGTTAACAACAAAACATAGTATATAAATAAAATTTTTATATTTTACCTAACTTTTTCTTTTCAAAAGGAAATATTTGAACAAATTCTTAACCTTGACATTTCTGTGTCATCATTCTGCTCTGAATTGCCCATTTTAAATTTTCTTTCTACTTTTATATGATTTTCTGAGTGTCTAACTGAATTCATACTATAGATATTGACAAGTCAGAATATAAATTTTAAACCTCCAATCTTCTTGCTCTACTGAGATATGAACAAAAATGTCAAACCCACATAAGATGCACTTCCTGCATCATTCTGTTTTTCAAAAATTGTCAGTAATTCTCTGCAACATTACTATTAGATATTATGTTTATTGAGTCCATAAATATAGTTGCCTTGATAAACTCAAAAAAATGGTTACAAATCATAAACACAAACCATAAAACAACTAATTTTATTTCTAGACAGTGAAATATATAACTTGTATATTTGCAAATAACCTACCCATATTTTCCTAATGGTAAACATCTATTTTCTTTTAATCGGAATTATTTTCTGTGGATATAGTACTTTTCCACTAGAAGATAGCTTGTTTGTACCTGGTTAGGCCAGGCTTTAAAATATTTTTGTCTGCTGTAACCCTACACTGATTTAAAATGTAGGTAGGTAATTTTTTTTTCAAATTGCTTGGCAAATGAAATTTCGGAAATACCACTAGTTTCATAATCACCTAAAACATAATGCATTAAACCATGAATACAATTATTATCAACATTTATCGTACGAAAAGAATTATAGAAGTTTCAAATTCTTTTGCAACACATACTTGCTGGTCAATATCAACCTTGACTTACAAAGTTATACTGATTGTTGCAAACAATGTTTGTTCTTCCAGTAAATCTACAAGCACTTCCCTCCACGTGGATTTGTTTCCTATAGGAATTAATTTGTTTTTGATTCTAATTCTTAATCTGCAAGAACATTTTTTAGAGACACGTACACTGAACAGACTTGTGTTCACCATATTGTTGATGTATGCTTGTCAATACTAAATTCTCCCCTGCTAAGTAGTGTATTTATTAGTTAGCATGAAGGATCTTGGGGATGAAACAAGTCATGTTGTCAAACCTCAAGGCATCAGCCAACCGGCACTGAGCTGTCGATTGGTAATCAGGTGATGCCCTTCCACATTCATGGACCACTTTAATTTCAGAGAAAAAATACTCTAATCATAATACAGCAATACAAATTTTAAATTCAGGAATTCTGTTAGATGGGTCAGCATATCAGCAGAAGCTGGTAAAAATAAAAATTTCCCAAGGTCATAATTTCGAACAAATTTTCCCAGTCTGCCCCAATTTCAGACAGTCAATCAGGTTACAGCAAACAAATATTTTTATGCCTGGCCTTACTGACGATAGCCCAGATCAAGTCTAAACTTTGAGTCACTAATAGCAAATTATAAAAACAGCAGGTGGTGGTTTCCTTTTGAGGTAGATAAGCTTCTGTAAAACAAAAACTTTTCCACCATCAAGTGCAGATTTGCTATTAATAGTGGAACCAATGTTTTGAGTTGTTTTGAGCCAAAGGCTCCAAAACAAATCTTACAAAGAGATAGACTATCTGAAAATTAGAACAAAGCGTTATTTTACTATAATAACTATTATTTAAACTTATCTTTAGTGTGGCTTGACAATGCAGATTCACCCATCACAGATAAGTTGTTGTTTTTTGTTAGGAATACAGAGAACTAACTTCACTTCGGTTTTTTCACATTTTATATATATATATATATATTATTTTTTTTTTAAACCAAGACTTATACTTTTCCATTTCTAGAGACTTATCATTAAATACACATTTTCCTGGCATTTTACCAACCAGATTAAATAAAGTTTTTGTGAAAAATCAAATTAAAGTAGTAGCACAATACAATTCTCAATTTTATTCCTACTACTCATCATCTGGTTTGTGTACTTCACTCTGAACCTGCCAGAGGTCATCCATGTATGCTACATGTTTAATAACAAACACTGTAGCTTAAACAAATGCCTATACACAAAGTGTCATTGCACACCAAGAACTATATAACAAGAATTAAATAGGGATTTTAATAATTTTAACATTTTTTTCCAAAATGGGTAAAATTTAAGGTAATACAAATTTACAAAACAAAATTAAAACACTTTCAAGAGCCTTATAAAAAAAAGTAAAACTTAAAATACCTTTAAGACCTTGCTTCTTAAAAATTCATAACTTTCAAGATTTTCAAAGCCCTTTGCAAACCTGTTTTAAGCTAGATTTTGACACACCAATTGTTTGAGGTTAGAACATACTCCTAAAATTAAAAAAAAAAAAAGAAGCTATAATTTTATTCAGAAATTAAGATTACATTAATCTTATTACTTCCTACTCAGAAAAAGTATGGTACTCATTTCTATTATAGTTCACCTCTCTTTGTTCAGTTACAAAATTATTAGTAACCATTTCTTTTGGGATTTGAATAAATATATATGTAGTTTCATGCAATCCGCCTTCATTCAGTCACACACACAGTTTCAAGTTCTACAAACCATGATAATCATGCATCATGAATAGTTATACGTAAAAGTATACTTTTTGTAGATTATAATTTAAACTATCAAAATTATTTTGATGGGAATAACCTTAAACATGTGATGGAAGTAGAAAAAGATCTTTGTAATTGGTTGATTAGTCTTTTAAGACATTCAATCAGTGTTGCTGCTATGGTGGGCCAAATGGAATTTTTGGTTGTGCTTACAGGTATTGAATACAAGAGGTTATTTCATTGTATAGGTCACTGGCTAAGCCTCATTTGGAGTTCAGTATTAGGATCCTTACCTTGAGAAAGACATTGAATTGCTGGAAAATGTTAAAAGGAGTGCTAGAAAGATGATACCAAGATGGAAAGATTATCATACAATCCCAGGTTAGGAAAACTTGAAAACAGAAGAGTTAGAAGCTATCTGATTGAGGGCTTCAAGCTCATTAAGGGATTTTATGTTACTGATGCACCTTTATTTTGTATTTAATTGTGAGAATAGTAAGACATGGAGACAAATATAAATTTTTGCAGGGCAGGAATCATCTTCCACTTATAATTTTTTTTTCTAACAGGATGGTAAGCATTTGGAATAGGTTACTTTTAGATATGGTGGTTACAGTAAATTTAAGGAAAGTTTGATAAATTGTTGAATTTGTTTTTTTTAAGTGAATATGACAGCTTTGATGACCTATCAGTCCTCTTAGTATCCCTTAAATGTTGTTAAACATTCAGAAAAATGTCTGAATTCATGCATTTAGGTTAAACTTAGCTATAATAATAAACATTTAAAAATATCAAACTAATATAATGGCAGCACACACTTCCGAAATCTTATTCATGTTGGTTGAAGGAGTTGTGCTTACTTGTTAGAAAATGTACTGTACATTGTTTTACAGTTTACAAAAAAAATCTTATTACAACATTTTTAAGAAGCACCAAAATCCCTGAATTGGCAAGAATAACATCTGCAAAAGGAAGACTGTCCAAACCTCTTAACAATTTGGAACACAATTAAAGTCCCTTTAACTCTCCATTACTACAGAAAAAATAACTAAGTCCAAAACTCTCTTTCATAGTTTAAAGTTCACCAGGTAACATTCTAGTGGCCACTAACCTATCATAATTAAACACAAAAACAGCTACAAGAAAATAATTAATTTTTAAATGACCAAAAATATTTTTATTTTTTTTACTTTCTTCATTGTCAATATTACATATATTTACTAATAGTAATAATACAAACATGTCTCGTATTTCACTTTAAACTCAAATAATTCACAAATTTAAGAGCAAATGCTAAATTTTCCATGCTGCTATTATAAGTAAATTTTTAAGTGTTTCACTTAAATACTAACCTATTACTCGTACTTTTGTAGTGAAGTTGTACTCGTACTTGTCGTAGGACCTACTTTGCAGTTGCTGAACACCGAACCATACGGTAAGCCTACACAAATACAAATTTCACGGTAATATCGATATGATGCCGCACTTCCTTTGTCAGTAAGAATCTGTTAATGCTAAAACGTACTGTTACTGTGTTAGTAACTAATGGTAATAGTACTAGTAGTGTTGTAAAAGAATACTATATTACTTCACTGCGTGTACGGTATTGTCACAACGCCAGTTGAAAGATTCAAGACTAAGCCTACCGATCTCCTCTTGGGGAAATAAAGCTTTTGTGGTCACCAAATCCCACGATAATTTATGAATCATAAAGTTTTAAAATCGTTTTCAATTGTACCCTTTCTCTTGTCAATATTAGTAGTCCAGATGAAGATAAATGAAACTAAACGCTAATCCTCCACATAAGAACAGTTACGAAATGAATACCAAATCCCATTCAACTGCAATACCAAAGAAAACGAATGTGGCCTAGATGGACCCACTTACTACCATGTGGATAATCTTGACGTCAGCACCTATAAAACATTTACGTCAGTAATATAATTAAACGTGCCCCTGAAATATTTGAAACATTATTTTGTAATATATCTTAAATATTAGTTTGACTGAAACAGATACTTATTGCTCCATTGACTGATTTCAACAACTTAATATAAATTGAATACTTTCAGACTCTGAACCAGTTTTTATGTTTGCGCCTTAAAATAAGTTTGTTTCTAATTCAAATACAGTTTGGTATTTCTCCGCGATCCTCCCGTTGCCAACGCTAAGGTAAGTTGAACAATAAAACGAAAAAATCAAGAATTTGGTTGTTTTATTTGATTGTTATTAAACACGAACCTACATAATGGGCTATCTATGCTCTGTCCATAGTGAGTAAGGAAACCCAATTTTCAGGCTTATAAAACCTCAGACATGCCTCTGAGTCATAGGAACAATTTAGTAGGTGAAAGATGTGTAATTAACTTAGTCGAAATATATTGTTACGTCTCCGTTTGTTAATTAACTTTCCGTAACTTCGTTCCGACGAAACTTTAGCGACACAAGTCCTTACTTAATAAAACTGGTTTATTCTTTCCGAATACAACTTTACGATACACTTATTTTCAACAATCGCGCTAAAACAAACGCTATATCAACGAACGTCAATAATACTTCTGACTGCAGTTCAATTACTCACTATCTACACACACATTATTCCCCTGTCATGTTGTCACCCTCTTTTATATACCAGAATACCCTATATCTAGTAAATACTAGAGCATTCGCCAAGGTACAGGATAGTTCTAGAAAATAGGTGGCGCCACACCAGTCACGTGACCTCGATGACGCAACACTGTACTTTCTTTCTTCGCTTCTTTCGGGTTATTTGGCTGCTCTCACAAAAATTCGCAAAATTCAAAACCAAATCAAACCTAATAACCCGAGCGAAGAATACACACATTCAATTTGTCATTTATAATATATCAACCTAATAATCCGAGTGAAACCGGATACTTTCACTGCTAAAAGAAACAAACTTATAAATGTTTTTATTTGAGTAACATTCATTATCGGGTGAGATTTTTTAAATCAGTAGTTCTATTCGTTAAAATTACTACGTTAC